GCTCCGGGCCCCGAGCGCCCGCACAGGCCGAGCCAGCCGAGCCCCGAGCGGGCGAGCGCGCACGTGACCGCGGGGCGGGGCGGCCGCAGGAAGCGCCGGGGCCGGGCCGGGACCCAGCGGGGCGGGGCCGGGCTGGGGAGCCCAACGGGACTGCGCCCGGAACCGAGCGGGACCGGGCTGGGACCCGAACGGGACCCAGCGGGGCGGGGCCGGGCCGGGGAACCCAACGGGAGTGCGCCCGGAACCGAGCGGGACCGGGCTGGAACCCGAACGGGACCGAGTCGGGCTGGGGAGCCCAACGGGACTGCGCCAGGAACCGAGCGGGACCGGGCCGGGACCCGAACGGGACCGAGTCGGGCTGGGGAGCCCAACGGGAGTGCGCCAGGAACCGAGCGGGACCGGGCTGGGACCCGAACGGGACCGGGCCGGGCTGGGGAACCCAACGGGACAGCACCGGGGACCGAGCGGGACAGGGCCGGGACCCGAACGGGACCGAGTCGGGCTGGGGAACCCAACGGGGCTGCGCCAGGAACCGAGCGGGACCGGGCTGGGACCCGAACGGGACCGGGCCGGGCTGGGGAGCCCAACGGGACAGCACCGGGGACCGAGCGGGACAGGGCCGGGGAACCGAACGGGACCGAGCGGGACCGGGCCGGGCGCGGGGAGCTGGGCCGGGCCGCGCTCCGGGTGTCAGAGCAAGGCCCAGGCTCTGCTCCGGGGCTGGCAGCGCTCAGGAAGTTGCAGCTGAACACAAGAGGGAACAGATGCCCGAGAGGGTGGGGAGTGCCCCTGACTGGAGATGCTCCAGACCCACCCCACACAATCCCTGCCCTGGCACGGGAGCTGGGAGCAGCTCAGATGCTTCCAAGAAGGGATTTAGTCCAGTCAGGTCACCATCACCCACCCAAGAACTCCACAACATTCCAATTCAGCTTTTTCTAAAGCCATTGTTACAGAAATGTTTATTGGCTTTCTTGCAAAAGTTGACAGCATTTAAAAATAAAAATTACACGTAGTCTTACTACAATTCAGGCTGGGTGTAGGTTTATATTAGATATTGGGGGGAAATTCTGTATTCAGAGGGTGGTAAGGCCTTGGCACAGATTCAGAGAGAAGCCAGGGCTGCCCCATTCCTGGCAGTGTCCGAGGCTGGGCAGAGCTTGGAGCAATTTGGTGTAGTGGAAGTTGTCCCTGCCCACAGCAGGAGCCTAACCCATTCTGTGATTCTGTGGAAACCTCAGAAACTCTCACTGCTGTTTACATGAACAGCAGCACAACAAGTGTGAACCCCTCCAGCAAAACACTGCCCAGGAGCTCTGTACCCTGAGACAGGGAGGTCAGCCCTGCAGGGAGGACTCAGTCCTCTTTCAGGGTTCTCTGCAGGCTCACATGGAACACGATCCTCACCTTGCCCAGCATCTGCTCAGGAAGTCCCAGCCTCCCCGAGCCAGAGCCAAGAGGCTCCTGGTCAAGGTCTGTCCCAAAGGTTTTATTGCACAACCCGTGGCTGCTTGTGCCTCAGGCTGGGGTTTGGCCAAGGGCCAAAAAAGCCAGAAAAACTTCAGCACGGCAGCGGCTGTGGCAAAACATCCCAAATTCAGCAGAAGGAATCACAAACACGCACAGAACATCCACTGAAGCTCACTTGAAGGCAGCACCTCACATGATTATTAAAGGGACTCAACCTTTTCAACATGTTCTAGTACCTTTTCAGAAAAAAAAGGCCTAAGATATTTAGGCTTTGGAGTAAGTCCAAAGTGACAACACACCGTACGAGTAATTATGTAAACTCATTTATTTTCTGGTGAAGGAAAGCTTTCACCATTCCCATTTTTTTAATCTAGGAAAGAAGCCCCTTGTGCTGCAGGAACAGAGAGCAGCTCTGCAGCAGGGAAGGGAGAAGTTCTTGGGAGTGCTTTTAGCCTTGTAATTGGGGAAGCAGAGTCAGAAACCCAACCCAGCAGCGCTCTGGGGTGTTCCCTGCCAGGTGACATTACACACTTGTCTCTGTGGAGCACAGGAGCAAGGCAAGTTTCACCTCAGCCTCTCAACAACAACCTAGAGAGCAATTTTCCCCTCTCCACAGCATCAACAGGGCACTCCTTCTCTTTCCTGCTGTTTAGAAAAGTTAGAGCCAACTGAGCTGTTCACAGTGCAGTGATTGACCCTCCCCAGGCAGCTCTGCTCCAGAACCTGCCCTCACAACACGCCAGCATTTGATCACAGCTTGGTAAAACAGCACTGAAAACTTGCCAAAGGGAACTCAGCTTGTTCCTTCTTCCTCTGCAAGGCCTTGGCTGAGCTGTTTCCCCCCACTGGGGCTTGGGTCCCAACTGTGGAGCAGAGATAAGCAGCTGGAGCATGCTCTGTGTGTGTAGATTTGGGAGGACTTTGCTCAGAGCACGTTCTGTTCCCTGCCAGGATAACTGAAGGTTCCAAACATGCTCCCCTCAGCTGCTGGGCTGCAGCTCCTCCTTGTCACTGCTTTGAGCAAAACACACCTGTGGGCAGCAGTGCAGGTGAGCTGGGAGCAGCAGGCTCAGAGCCTGCTCTCCATGACACTCCAGCTGCTCCCCTGGGAGCCAGGAAAACAGGGAAACCAGGGAGACAAGTGTGAGGGACAACAAGGCCTGTAAGAGCCAAATATCTACTGCCAGGAGACTTCTTGAAATCTTTTAAGGTTGAAAATTAATTTAGATGACAGAATCCAACCATTAACCCAGCACTGCCAGGTCCATCACTGAACCCATCTTCAGGGGAAGCTGAAGGATGCCCAGGAGTCCCAACAGTCAGCAATCCCAATTTTCCCCACAAGGCCACATTTTATCTTCCAGGCATTTTAGGATAGCACACAAAAGTAATATTTAAACACTTAACAGGGAAGAAATGTTTGGCACAAAAATGCCTTGTGCACCTGCTGTGCTGAGGCAAAGGTCTCCAACAAACTGTCAAATCTCTCCTGCCTTCTATTGCCTTTTGAAGCCACAGAGATTTTAGGTTTCCTTGACTCAGCATGATGGATAATTCCCTCCTCAAGTGGCAGGAATTACCTTTTCAGCTCTAGAAAGTGAAGCCAGCATTTTATTCTGCAGCTTTAACTGAGCACACAGAAATGGGATGCAGATCCCCAGACTCTGAAGCCTGCAATGTTCACTTGTTTGTGCATGATTAAAGCTCAGATTTACCCCCATAAAGAATTACCATTTACAACTCCTTTTTGCCCAGAGGCTGACCAGGAGGCTCTCCACCTCACTGACTTTAATAAATAGATGATAAGAATGAAAGAGGAAAGGCTGGTGCCACAAAACATCAGATCTCTCAGGTCATTTGCAACATGCCCAAGTGGAGCAGTGACTCAGAAGGTGAGCATTCCTCCCTAGCAGTGCAGAGGCTGCTCAAAGCAGGACCTGGAATTTGGGAGTTCTGGCAGTGCTTCACTCCCCTGCCTGTCAAATGAGTCACTTGAATTTCAATAATATTTAAATAACAGCCTGCATCTCCCAGGCAGCAGCAGCAGCCAGCACACTACAAGCACAGCACTGTCATTTCCATGTTACAAAACGTGCAGGTGTCTCCACTCACACCCACCTGACGGAGCTCTGAAGTTGAGTTTGATTAGGAAATAATCCACCCAGAAAACTCCAAGCAGCAGGACACAGGGCCCACAGCAGGAGGCTCAAGCTGCCCTGTGTGTAGTTCACAGGACACTGTTCTGTCACTTCCAATGTCCCCATGGCAGCTGGCAGGCAGAGCCAGGGACGGGCACTCCTTATGTAACAGGGATAAATATTGCCATGCCTGGGAAAGCTCAGGGTTGGGAGTCAGGATTCATGCTTGCCAAACAAACAGCTTTCCAAACATCCCCACTCTGGCTGTCGACACTCACTGTTCCAGACAGCCCTGTTTGTGACTGCTGCATCCAGGGCACCTCTGCTTTCCACAAAGCCTGGCTCTCCTCCAAGAGCCAACTTCCTTTTCTGTCTCAATTCAGGGAATTCAGCCCATCTAACTGCCACTTAGAAAGGCCCTGGAGGACACTATGTTCAGAAAACTCTGAAACATTTTGCCTAGACAGGACTAAAAGGAGGATCAAGAGAGCTGAGGAACAAACTGGTTTGTTGCTCCAGGACAGTGTCCAGTGACCATTTGCACTCCAGCTGCCCTGTGACCATGTGAGGGGCCAGTTTGAAAGGTTGGCAGTGCTGTTTGGCACAGTCAGCTGCAGTGGGCACCCAGTGGTTTGTCACACTACAGACACTTCCCAGCTGTGCCAGGCCAGGGCTCTGCAGCTGATCCAGAGTGGGAAAGTGCCCAACCTCTAACTAACAGAGCTAGTTCTGCTGTTCAGTCACAATCTTTGCAAACAATGCTGCTCAGACTAATCACTTCACAGCACCAGGCAGATGTTTCATTATCTCTCATTCCGTTTGCCACTGCAGGACAAGAGCAGGCACAATGGGAAGGCAGAACACTGGCAGTTACCAGGAGTGCTTTGCAATCAAACAGAATTCACAGGTGCAAGTGATTGCAGAGAATTTAGTGACCCACTCTGAAAAGCCCACAACTCAAGAACCCAGACAACTCCTACTTTTCCTAGCCACAAACCTGAAAAAGCACTAACAATTAGCATTGAGATGGCACTTTCAGGAGAGCAGGACAACATCCAGCTGCAGTAGGCTGGCTGGATGCAAAAGCTGGAAGTATTAGTAGATTAACAGATAGAAAACAGATTATTTGATTTCAAGGCACTTCATTTCCTAGATTTCTTTAAGCAGCATTTTCAAAAAGCACCTCAGTACAGAAGATTAGTAGTTCACTTTGGAATTAACTGTTCATAATCGGTGAGGCATCACAGACTTACAGAAAGGAGAATCTTTGAGGCTCTCAGATTCCCCCCCTTGCTCCTTTAGTCACATTCCAGGCATTAATTACTCAGCTGCAGACCAGCTCACACCCTCTGCAGCTCTGCTTGAATCAACCTCTCAGTGACTTTTCTAACAGGGAACAGGCAAGTCACTGCAAAAGGCGGACACAAGGCACACAGACAGTGGGACCACAGTGCCCAGTGTAGTGTGGGGGCACAGCAGATGTAGAGATAAAAAAATAAGTAAGTTTTTAAGTAAAAACCGGCTCTAGTTTCCTCTTTGTCCTCTTTAAAGAGGTAAAGAAAGTAGAGCCCCAGAGCTGAGCTCCTCTCTCCTAATGGGAAACCTGAGCATGGAGCAGAATGAAACACTGCTACCTGCTGCACTAGCACCAGTAACGTCACACAATTTTTCAGGGCATGTCTTTCTTCCGAAGAAAGTCTTCTACCAGCTGATCAAACTTCTGTGAGGAAAACTGCTTTAGGACATGTAAGGGAGTGAGCAAATACTGCTCTGCAAGTCCAGTTGCAAGGTGCTCACTGAAAACAAGTGCTGCTCCTGCTGCTCCCAGATGTTCCCCACTCAGCTCTTCCTTGTCACCCCTGTGACAAGTGCGCCCTTCTTTTGAGCAGAGAGCTGGCTCACAGTAGTGCTGAGGAACCTTAACATCTGTAAACACTTCAGGTTTGCCAGTATTTTTCTCTGGGGAGTCATAAACAACCCCTCGGGGCACAGAACTCCCCAGGGCTCTTTTCCAGAGACTTGTGGGTTTCTGCCCCCTCCTTCGCCTTTGCTGCTGTCCAGACTCTTGCACAGTCTTTGAGACTCTGAAGTCAGGAAGCACCTGGGGAGCAGAGCTCAGGTATTCCTGAAAGTAGACCTGGCACATGTTGTCCTTCACAATGGGAATGATGGAGCAAGGTTTCAGCCACTTCACGAACTCACGCAGCTCCTCAAAGGACGAGTGATCCGAGTAGGGGACGAGGTGGATGTTGGGGTGGGTGACCTTCACGGGCCTGCCCGTGGGGATGATGGCAATGGTGGGGTGCTGCGCGTTCCAGGCAACCAGTGCGTCCCAGCGGATCTCGGCGACGTCCACGGCGCGGATCCAGCCCGTGCCCTCCTCAGTGGTGAACACATCCGGCAGCTCCAGCAGCCGCATCTGCTCCAGGCGCCAGGGGCTCACCACCACCCACGTGCTGAACTCCAGCGCCAGGTCCACCAGCAGCGTCTCCTTGCCCAGGGTGTACACACCTGCCAGGGGAGCAGCGGCTCAGGGACAGAGCAGAGGGACGCAAGCCCTGGCTGAGGCCGTGCTGGCAGAAGGGAGGGCAGCACTCACCGATGACCACGTGGTGCTGCGGGTGGGCACGGATGAGGCGGGCAGCCTGGCGGGTGGCCAGCGCCCGCGAGGGCAGGGCCCGCTCGGGGTGGCAGTGGGTGTTGTCCAGGTACAGGCGGTCGATGTGGCGGCCCCTCAGCGCCGGCTCGCCCTGCATGGCGCTCGTGTAGCGGAAATCTCCTGCAAGGAAAGGGATGGCAGGGCAGGGCCCAGAGAGGGCGCTGAGTTTCCCTCAAGGAGGGCACTTCAGAACCATCTGGTCACAAGTCTGTGCCATGTGCTCTGGGACAGCCCTGCTTGAGCAAGGCTTTGGGACCAGGTGACCCACTGCGGTCCCTTCCAACCTAACCCATTTTGTGATTCTGTGATTGAGGGAACCTGCCCTGTACCTGTGTAGAGGATGGTGCCGAAGGCGCCCTCAAAGAGGAACATAACGGAGCCAGGACAATGGTTGGAGTCGATCAGCGTCACCGTCACCTCACCCACGACATGGCTCTGCCCCACCTCCAGCGGCCGGATCCAGCACTTCGGCACCTGCAGGGCGCGAGGTGTGAGGGCAGGGCAGATAACAAGGGTTGAGACAGGCACGCGGGGTTGCCCAGGCGACGAGGGCAGAGGCGGGCGGGACACACCTACCTGCAGGCGGTGGTGCAGGAGGCGGGCGGTGAGCGGGGAGCAGTACAGCGGGCGGCTCCAGGTACTGGACAGCCCCACCGTGTGGTCCGAGTGCATGTGGGACAGGAAGAAAAGGCGGGCGCCGGCCGCCTTCCGCAGGCTCCAGAAGTCCACGGCGATGGGGGTCCCGGCCAGCACCGTCCCGCTCATGGCGGGCGTGGACCTGGGACCCCGCTCCCCTCACGCCGGTTTTGGCGGGAAGCGCCGCGCACGCGCGGGCGGCGAGGGGCGGGGCGGCGTGACGTGTGCCGGGGTCACGTGGGCGGGGCGGCGGATCGGCACCGGCACCGGGATCTGGGACCGGGGTCGGGACTCGTAGCAGGACCGGGAGCGTCGCTTAGGAGCGGCACCGGCGCGGGGCCATGCCGTACCTGGGCGGCGAGGAGGCGCAGCGGGAGCTGCGGCGGGCGCTGTCGAACCCGCACGTGCAGGCGGACCCGGCGCGGTACCGCGGCGCCGTGCTGCGCGTGATCCGGTACGCCGGGCGGGCCGGGCCGGGGGGGCGCGGGGCCCGGGGGCCGATCCCGCGCTGAGCGCCGTGCCTTCCCCGCGCAGGCTGATGGCGCAGGGCGCCGACGTGTCGGGGCTGTTCCCGGAGATGGTGAAGGCGGGCGCGGTGCCGGACGTGGTGCAGAAGAAGCTGGTGTCGTTCTACGTGCGCGCCCAGGCCCCGCGGCAGCCGCAGCTGGCGCTGCTCGCCGTCAACTCCCTGCGCAAGGACTGCGCGCACCCCAGCCCGGCCGTGCGGGGGCTCGCCCTGCGCACCATGTGCGGCCTCAGGTGCGCCGGCGCCGGGCGGGCACCGGGGGTGTCCCCGGCCGCCGTGCCCCGCTGACGGCCGGCTGCCCTCCCGCAGGATGCCCGGGATCCAGGAGTACCTGCAGCAGCCGCTGGTGAGCGGGCTGCGGGACAAGGCGTCCTACGTGCGCAGGGCGGCCGTGCTGGGCTGTGCCAAGATGGTGAAGCTGCAGGGGGACTGCGAAGTGGGTGAGTGGCTGGTGGCCGTGGGGCTGGGGGTGGTGGCCGTGGGGCTGGGGACACCCAGGTGCGGTGTTGGCGATGTGTATTCAGCCCTCAGGGCTCTCCTGGGGTCCCTGTGCTGCCCCTGTGTTGTCGTGGCTGCAGGGCGGAAGGAGAGAGAAAGAGGAGGGTAATTAATGAAAGATTGGGAAAATTGCAGTGTGCCAGCAGATGCTGATGGCAGGAGCTCTGTGCTTTGCAGATGGTGCTCTGGTGAATGAGCTCTACAGTTTGCTTCGGGACCAGGACCCCATTGTGGTCGTGAACTGTCTGAGGGCCTTGGAAGAGATCTTGAAGAAGGAGGGAGGTGTTGTCATCAACAAACCCATTGCCCATCATCTCCTCAACAGGTTTGCTTTCTTTGGCATTGAGATAGTGCTGGAAGCTTCTCCTGTTCTCACGTTTTCTATGCAGAGAGGCAGTTCCTGGGGGACAAAGCCTTCTCTGCACAGATGTTCCTGACCCCCTGTGTCCCTGGCAGGATGCCTGACCTGGACCAGTGGGGGCAGAGCGAGGTGCTCACCTTCCTGCTGCGCTACAAACCCCGCAGCGAGGACGAGCTCTTCGACATCCTCAACCTGCTCGACGGCTACCTCAAGAGCAGCAGCCCCAGCGTCGTGGTGGCAGCCACCAAGCTGTTCCTGGTGCTGGCCAGGGAGTACCCAGATGTGCAGGCAGATGTGCTGGTGCGGGTGAAGGGCCCGCTGCTGTCTGCCTGCACCTCGGAGAGCCGGGAGCTCTGCTTCACCGCGCTCTGCCACGTGCGCCAGATCCTCAGGAGCCTGCCCGGCCACTTCAGCAGCCACTACAAAAAGTTCTTCTGCTCCTACTCGGAGCCCCACTACATCAAATGCCAGAAGATGGAGGTGCTGTGTGAGCTGGTGAACGATGAGAACGTGCAGCAGGTGCTGGAGGAGCTGCAGGGTTACTGCACCGACGTGTCGGCGGAGCTGGCGCAGGGAGCGATCTTTGCCATAGGTGAGGGCTGTGCCTTGGCTTGGCTGCAGCCCTGCACCTTTCAGGGGGGCTGTTCTCTGCTCAGGGGTGCCTGGGCAAGCAGCAAATCACTGCTCTGTGCTGCAGCAGCACGGACTGCAGCCTGCCCGGGAGTGGTTTGTGTCAGGGTGTTTCTGAAGTCTGATTGTTTCAGGAGTCCTGGCGTTGAGCTGCTTCAGGTTGTGCAGAAAGTCCTTGGATCTTGTGCTGTGAGGAGATGCTCTAGAGAAAATGTGTCATTTCATCTTGTTAATGAGCCTTACAGCGTTCAGTGAAGCTGTGCAGGGGGTGGAGGAGCTCTGACACCTGCTTGTCCTTTGAGTTGTGATGGGGGCAGAGTTAAGGTGGTAGTTTTGGTTTTGTGAGCTTTAAAAATAGGTGAATTATTACAGTGTTCATAAGGAGAAAGTTGGGGATGACAAAATCCTTTTTTTTAATGTATTACATTTAAGAAAAGTTCAGACATCTGAGGCATGGCCTGACAAAATCCTTTTTTTTAATGTATTACATTTAAGAAAAGTTCAGGCATCTTCTGAGGCGTGGCTCCAAAAAAAAAAGAACAGGTCCCTGGTGTGGAGAACAAGCTCATTTGGCCACACTTTCAGCAACAGTAGTCAGAAAGGAAAGGAGGGAGACTGTTCCTTTAAAGAGAGTTTGTGATGGGTAGCTGGGTTCATGATTCCTGTTTCACTCTGATAGAAGGTTGATTTTTATGTCTTTTTGACATCCTTGCAGCCAATATTGCCAGGACATACACGGAGCAGTGTGTGGGGATTCTGACAGAGCTTCTGGGGCTTCAGCAGGAGCACATCACCTCAGGTAACCATTGCTGCTGATTTTGCTCTCAGGAGGTGCCTTTGCTGGAGCTCCTGATCCCAAACCCAAAGGCTCTTGGCTTTCAGTTTAATTGGCACCTTCAGTGGAAGTTTTCCAGGTGGGTTGAGGGGTGTGAGGTGTGTTCCTTCTCTGTGGGAAAGGGGAAGATGGTTGTAGCTGTGTTCATGCTTCTTTCTGGCTGCCACCTGCTGACTCAGGGAGTGAGGGGCTCAGCAGAGACATTTTACTGTCTGTTTGAGAGCCAAGATGATTAATAGATCTTTTAGATCTCTGTGATTTCTGTTCCTCACATAATAGTCTGATTCAGTTGTGCCCAAGCTTCCTTTTTTCTGTTCTGCCCTCAGATCCACCTTCACATCGCTGCTGTTCCTGCTGTTCTCTTTTAACTGCTCTTGCTCTCAGATTTGAAAACCACACACTTGCATTCAGCTGTTGAATTCCATCTCAGGAACTGTTTTTGTGTCTGAGTGAGCAGCAAAACCTTTCAAGTTTTGACCTAAAGTTCACAAGCCTCATTTTGAATCGGGGTCAGCTTTAATTTGTCATTCTAACCTCGTGTGTCTGAAGCATCATGAGTCAGAGGCTTTTTAAAGGCTGGCAGGGGCCAGAAGAGAGGCTGCTCTCCGGCAGAGGAACAATCTGAAGTCTCAGTGCTCTATTTTAGACCTGGTGCAGCTTTGCTCTGACAAAGGCAGTGTCATGGGATTGGGAAGGAGGATGCCTCAAATCACAGTCTCAGGCAGGGCACTGACCCTCCTGGCTGAGATTTGCAAAGCCCCTTGAGTGGGGGAGGTTTGAAATTATTTTTTCCTTTTCCCTGGTGGTTTTTATGACCCTTGGGGGATGCTGATAACTTGTTTTCCTTGCAGCTGTGGTCCGTGCTTTCCGGGACCTGGCCTGGCTGTGTCCCCAGTGCACAGATGCCGTGTGCCAGGCCCTGCCTGGCTGTGAGGACACCATCCAGGACAGCGAGGTGAGGGGGAGGGTGGACAACAACTGTCCATCTTCCCTTTGCCTTGAGACTGGGGGCACAAGTCAGAAATCCTCAGATTTGTTCTCCCAGCGTGCTCATTTCCAACACGTGGCACTCAGCAGCTGTTTGCTGGTGTTCCTGTGGTTCCCTCAGGGCAAACAAGCACTCATCTGGCTGCTGGGCACCCATGGGGAGAAGATCCCGAACGCTCCCTATGTCCTGGAGGACTTTGTGGAGAATGTGAGGTCGGAGTCGTTGCCAGCAGTGAAGATGGAGCTGCTGACGGCGCTGCTGCGGCTCTTCCTGGCCCGGCCCGCCGAGTGCCAGGACACGCTGGGCAGGCTGCTCCACTACTGCATTGGTGGGTTCCCTGTGTCCCCACGGCTCTCAGGGAGCTGGCAGGGCTGTGTCCCCAGGCTGTGTCAGCGTCCAGGCTGCTTCCAGGTGGTTCCATGCCTTAGGCTGCTGCCTGGCCCCTGGCGCGCTGGGTGTGGAGTCATGGCTTCAGAGTGGAAGGGACCTTAAAGGTCATCCAGTTCCACCCCCTGTCCTGAGCAGGGACACCTTCCCTGTCCAGCCTGGCCTTCCAGGGATCCAGGGGCAGCCACAGCTGCTCTGGACACTCTCACAGGGAAGGATTCCTTCCAAATATCCCATCTAACCCTGCCTTCTGTCAGTTTAAAACCATTCCCCCTTGTCCTTTGGCTGTCTGCCTGCAATCAGGCTTGCACCGTACCCCTGAAAGGTTTTAATAATTTAGTGTCAGCGCTCTGGGGCAGTGTGGCTGGTGGGATTCTCCATGGGTTGCTGTCTGTGGTTGCAGAGGAGGAGCAGGACATGGCCGTGCGGGACCGGGGGCTGTTCTACTACCGCCTGCTGCAGTCTGGGGTGGAGGAGGTGAAGAGGGTCCTGTGCAGCCCCAAGTCTGACCCGTCCCTGGGGCTCCTGGGGGAGCAGAGCAAGCAGCCTGTCAATGCCTGGGCTCTGGAGTTCAACACTCTGGCCACGGTTTACGGCAGAGAGCGCTGGGCGCTCGCCACCGCTCAGCAGCCTGTGGAGCCCTCCTGCTCCTGCTCTCCTGGTGCTGATTCCAGGAGCAGAGACACAGGTAAACCTGCCTCACCTTCCTCTGGGAGCCATTCTCCCCTTGCCAGCAGAACACAGAATCCCAGAGTGGTTTGGCTTGGAGGGAGCCTTGAAATTCTTCTCGTTCCACCCCCTGCCCTGGTCACGGATCTTCCCCTGTGCCAGCTGCTCCCAGCCCTGTCCAGCCTGGCCCTGGGCACTGCCAGGGATCCAGGGGCTGCCACAGCTGCTCTGTGTGCATC